CCGAAGGGGACACGTATATTAGTGATGGTACACTAGTAAATCTTGATGAACCTAATAGCTATAAGGAAGCCATGGCAGGCCCGGAGTCTGCGAAATGGAAAGAGGCAATGGATAGCGAGATCCAATCCATGTACGATAACCAAGTTTGGAATTTGGTTGATTATGTGCCCGGACGTAAGACCGTTGGGTGCAAGTGGATCTTCAAGAAGAAGACCGACGTGGATGGGAACGTACACACGTATAAAGCGCGATTGGTTGCGAAGGGCTTTACTCAAACTCCAGGAGTTGACTATGATGAGACCTTCTCACCAGTTGCGAAGATTAAATCTATTAGAGTGATGCTAGCAATTGCCGCATTTCATGATTATGAGATTTGGCAAATGGATGTCAAGACCGCCTTCCTTAACGGAAAGTTGGCTGAGGATGTTTACATGGCTCAGCCAGAGGGGTTTGTGAATCCGAAGCATCCAAATAGAGTGTGTAAGCTTGAGAAGTCCATTTATGGACTTAAGCAAGCGTCTCGCAGATGGAATCTTTGCTTCGATGAGAAAGTCAAAGAGTTTGGATTTGTACGAAGCGAAGACGAATCTTGTGTATATGTCAAAGCCAGTGGGAGTATAGTAAGCTTCCTCGTTCTATATGTCGATGACATATTACTCATAGGAAACGACATCCCGACTCTGCAGGAAGTCAAGTCCTGGCTCGGGAAGTGTTTCGCTATGAAGGACCTCGGAGAGGCTTCTTACATTTTGGGAATAAGGATAGTAAGAGAAAGAAGTAAGAGACTAATTGGACTTAGTCAGAATACTTACTTAGAGAAGGTACTAAAACGTTTTAGTATGGAAAACTCAAAGAAGGGAGAACTACCGATACAAGGAAATGCCAAGTTGAGTAAGACTCAAAGTCCGAGTACTGAAGCTGAAATAGCAGAAATGAGCCGAATACCATATGCTTCCGCAGTTGGCTCAATCATGTACGCTATGACTTGTACTCGCCCTGATGTAGCCTTCGCTTTGAGCATGGTTAGCAGATATCAAGGGAACCCTGGCAAAGCACATTGGATTGCGGTGAAGAACATCCTTAAGTACCTTCGGAGGACGAAAGAATGGTTCTTAGTCCTTGGAGGGAGTGATGACTTGAAGGTGCGAGGGTATAGTGATGCCAGTTTTCAGACCGATAGGGACAACTACCGTTCGCAGTCGGGCTGGGTCTTTACCCTAAATGGAGGAGCAGTAACTTGGAAGAGTTCCAAGCAAGAAACCGTAGCTGATTCAACGTGCGAATCAGAGTACATCGCAGCGAGCGAAGCGTCGAAGGAGGCAATATGGCTAAAGAACTTCATTGGTGATCTTGGAGTTGTGTGCCATAAAGGAGCCCATGGAGATTTTCTGTGATAACGAAGGTGCGGTTGCCTTGACCAAGGAACCGAGGGATCATGGTAGATCTCGACATATCGACAGAAAATATCACTTCATTAGACATCGTGTAGAAGAAGGACAACTCATAGTTAAGAGGATATCATCAGAAGATAACCCAGCAGATCCGCTTACGAAGGGACTGAGTAGGGTTAAGCACTTGCAGCATGCTAGGAGTATTGGGCTGAAGGATGATATTAGTATAGATTAGATAGTATTAGAAACGTATAATAGATAAATGTAATTAACATTTGATGATTAAATAAAGGAGTTTTATTTATAAGTAAAGTTACTGTCATATGTTAATTGTTTAACTATTGTTTCACTTTGCATGTTTTGACTTCCAGAATAATTGAGTTTATTAGGAATAATCGAATTATTCAAATTGTCCACAATCGTTCATATGTTGGAAGTAGATATGAATGAAGATTGTCATGAATTGGTGTGTAGATTGTCTAAATGGTGTTAGACATAGCAAGGGTTGCTGCAACGTTCATGAGTGCTTATGAACTGGTTTTGAGCATTGGAACAAACCCGCGCTTGCTGGAATCACTTTATGGAATACGATATAAAAGGTGATCGCAAGACGATAATATCATATAGTCTTAAAACCTAGATATATGGTTTATTATTTGTTAATTGATTGTACATTGATAATGCGAAAACGCATCAGTAACTTGGTGTTATAAAACGCATTGTTGTGTATAGTTGGTTAATGAATAAGTAAATGCATATAAGTCGAAGTTTATCTGTAAATTTTATCCTAAGAGGGTAGAAGAGATATCTTGGCCACTCGATGATTTGATTTGACTTATGTGCCGGGCCCGGTCAGAACTGAATTGATGTGTTTGATTAAGTTCTATGTCGAATAAATCGGAGATCGAGAAATCAAATGCTAGACTAACCATTCCATAGGATTGTCAGCATGATATCTAACAGAGGACTGTACGATCCCTTATCTAAAGGACAAGATTGATTAGATCAGAGTTTGATAGCGTCTTTGAGAGCTACGATTGCAAACCGAATTGTACTTGTATAGTTACTAGACTTATCCAAGTGGGAGACTGTTGGAATAGTGTCTAAGGCTGCAACTATATTAGGCAAGTATTTGATCCGGTTGTGCATGGTCCTTTTGGGTTGCCTTCACCATAGCAACTTGATGGATGATTTGTTAAGAGAGAGTAAATATTATAAGGAATAATATATGGTTATTTGATTAATATAAGTCATAGATTAATTGGAATTAATTTGGTGACTTAAAGAGATTAATTAAATAAGAGAGTATAAACTGTCAATTGTTTGATAGTTACACTTTAGACTATAAATCCTTATCCATGATAGGATGGATGATTTCTAGGGCTTGGATAAGCCAAAATCGTCCATAGGGTTATCAAGGAAAGGATATGGATCAACTTAAAGTCTAAGTTATCCAATTAGGGTTAAAGTTGTAATCCTTAAGGAGTCTACAAGTATAAATAGACCCTAGGGGTGAGGGAATTCGACACATCATCTAAAGTAGAGATACTCTAGCCGAATTCCTCCCCTCTCCTCTCTCCTAAATCATCCTTCTTGCTATTGGTCTTTGTAAGCCATTAGAGGAGTGATATTTGTGACTCTAGAAGCTCCAAGACAACAAGATCAACAAGGAATCCAAAGGTATGATTCTAGATCTATTTCAATGTTGTTATTTAACCTAATTAGCCATTAGAAGTCTTGGATTCAAAGCATGTTTAATTAGAAAGCCTAGATCCGAGCATTAGGGTTTTGCATGCGCACATAGGAAAGTTCTTATGGCTAAAACCTATCAATTATATGTGACCCAACTCATATGTAAGAAATGATTAAGCAAGAAAACGTAAAAATAAATATGTTGAAACGTAGACGAACTCAAATATAATACATTTTTTTGAATTAATGAGCAAAAGTTAATATATCTTACATTACTCATATGTAAGAAACGTACATAAAATTAAGCACGAAAACATTAAAAAAAATAATTAAAAAAATTAAAAAATTAAAAAAACTAAAAAAAAAAAACTACATTGAAACATAAGCAAACTCGAATTTATTGACACGTGCATAAAAAAAACAAGTTTCTTTTAGAAAAAATTAACGAAATAAAGTTCTATATTCACGTTGAAACATTGACCACCTTAAATTTATACCGATACATATATAAAAAGAAACACATCAAAATTTAGTTTTTATTGATTAACCAACAAAATTTATTAAAGAAAATCAAATTATGTAAAAAATTTATTAAAGAAAATCAAATTATATAAAATTTGGTGGATAAATATAAAAATTTAGAAAAATAAAAGGTCGAAAGTAAGTATTTTTTAGAATTCAAAATGAAAGGTTAATCACTCTTTAAAAACTAAACATAAGTGAATGCTCTACAATTTAATTACCCTCTTGATCGAATTTAAGTCAAAATTGGAGTATTGGTGTCATATGGGTAAATGGCACAAAAAACACTATTTTTATACAGAAATTCAATTTTGACACCGTGTTATTTTTTGTGTCAATTTTGACACTGTGTTTTCCAATTTGTTACAATTCTGACCACTTGACCGGTTAATCAGGTTAAATGCTGACGTGGCATGATGACGTGTTAGTTTTTGATGACGTGACATGCTGACATTATATGATGACGTGTCAAAATTGAATTTTTTTTCTCATAAAAAACACTAAGTTTTCATTTTTTTCGATTTTGACACTAAGTTTAATTTTTTCTTTCAACTTTGACACTGTGTTTTTTTGTTCCAAATCAAACATCATTTTTTCCAATTTTGTTCAATATTGACAATTTTCTATTTGAAACCGTATAAATATTTTTTTAATACATTTAAACCGTATAAAAATGTTTGCTTTTTCATTTAAAAACTATAGTTTTGTATACATACATTTTTTTACACTCAAAACATATTTTTATATATAAACATATATATTAGTTATATAAAAATTGTATTTTATATTAAATATGCAACTTTAAAATCTGTTTGGAGGTTTGGAGGTGTAGTCGATCAAAACTCAGATATTAAGTTTGCAACCCATCAAATTTTTACATTTTATTAGAAGTTTATGTTTAGTTTGATTCTCATGATATAACTAATGCTTTGAATGTAAGAAAAAAAAAAACATTTTATATTTAAAGAAAAATGTGTTTTAAACGAAAAAAATATGTTTATACGGTTTAAAATGTAATAAAAAAATATATTTATACGGTTTCAAATGGAAAATAGATAAAATTAAACAAAATTTGATAAATGATGTTCGATTGGAACAAAAAAAACATAGTGACAAAATTGAAATAAAAAATTAAACTTATTGTCAAAATCGAAAAAAAGTAAAAACTTAGTGTTTTTTGTGGAAAAAAAAATCAATTTTGACACGTTAACATATAATGTCAACATGTCACGTCATCATGCCACATCAGGATGTAACCTGGTTAACCGATCAAATTAAAAATTGAAAAACACAGTAAAAAAAAACTTCAAAATCGAATTTGCGAGTTTTTTTTTTTTTTTTTTTTTTTTTTTTTTTTTTTTAAGCATTTACCGTGTCATATCTCAGAAAGAGATTGGAAGATCAGGATAGGGGGAGAGAATCAATGAACCTGTCCGTTGGCGTTGCGATTGCGCGGGAGATTCCACTAGATTTCCGGCGAGAAACCGGTGGAGCAATAGCAGTCGCTACTAAGAGAGTCAGTGAGGACGGCGACGGCTGTGGGGTACGACGCCGTCGTGCTTCACTAAGAATGGTGGACAGGCAGCTAGCCAAGGGCAACTTCAAATTGGCCCTTTCTTTAGTAAAACAGTTGCAACGACAACCTCCTCCAACTGGTCTTCGAGGCTTTGCTGCTGCCAAACAGGTCCTTAGATCTGATTTTTCACGCAATCACTTGTTTCACAAATTACTCTTTTCTTTTCCCTGAATATTACATCGTTCAAGCTAATAATTTGACAGAAATAGATATAATTCATCAACAAAACAATTAATCTCCGTGTAATTATATAGAATTCCATAAAGGATTTAACCCTAGGCATACAGTGGAGATCGTTGATTAGATGATAGTTGAGACAAGATTTCAATTCAATCGGAATGCACCATATGTTTCATGAATTGTAAGATTTGAGTTGTGAATAGTTAAGGAACATATTTTTGATTCGTGTGTTAACTTTGCAATTTCTAACCCTAAAGCCGTTAAAAACATCTGTTTTAATCTGTTGTTCAAATTGATTGCCAGAATGACTACATATGTTAAAGCTAGATGACTTACAGGTACCCCGAAGAGTGTTGTCAGTAGAGGAATTGGATCTCAGTGTGACAGAAAAATCTGCTCTTCAGTCATTACATGATTCCATCCTTGATTCAATCAAGATTAACCTTCAATCATCACCATTGGATGAGGTACTTTAATTTTCTTGGCATTATTGTTGAATTAATTTGGTTTCATTGGCTTGTTTGTCAATTTCCTAATTACATTGGCAAATATGCAAAAGAATCTAAGGGGCGATTGGTTTGTGGGATTCCTTTGGAATCAGCCAGGATTGGAATGTAGTTCCATTCCATTCCACTCTGGCATTGGGTTGGAAATGACTAAGAAGTTTATGTCCATCTAAATTCACAAAATCCTACAACTCATGGAATTTAATTCCAATCCTCATGTATAAATGACTGAAATACCCTTTCTGAACCCCCATTTTTAACATTGTAGTATGTTGATTTCGTCATTTTATCATTACCTTTTGTAATTTGCTGTTTAATATTTGTTTCCTAATTTGTTGTCTTGTTTCGATAAATTTATCATGCATAAATAATATTTTAGATAGAAATAGTTCTAAAATTTTCATGAACAAGAAATTATTAAAAGGGTAATTTAAATATTTTCACAACTATTTAAATAACTTCGTGGGCAAAAAACTTAATAGAATGGCCATTTACTGACCTTTACAAACATTTAAATACATTTTATGCTCAAGAAATCAATAAAAGGCACTTATGTTATTTTCATTATTTGCATTCCAAAATCCAAATCCTTTGACAGCTTCACAAACCAAACAAAAATATACAATGGAATGGAATTGTATTCCATTCCAATTCCAGCCAACCAAACACATGACAGATTTCATTTTCTTCATTTTCTAATATCTTCAAATTCCAATTCCATTAAAAGATTATCTGTTGATTCAATTATCTCATCTGCTTATTTCTCTTTTATTTCCATTTATTTATTGGTCCAAGAGCAATATATTATATTTAATATTAACTTCTTTGTTGGGATTGCAGCTTTCTGTAACTTGTAAGGACAATGATTTAAACCTTGAAGATGATATAATCCAACACAAGTAAAATATCTTTCTTCTACAATATATGTGTCTATGGAATATATAATTAACATAATAAGAAAAAGAATTAACAATTTATCAAAAAAAAAAAAGTTCAATTTCATTAAAATATCTTTCTCCTAATGATATGTTTTGAAAGTTGAAGACAAGTGGTGCTGCATGAAGCTGGTCATTTTTTAATTGGCTATATGCTTGGTGTTTTACCAAAAACATATAAATTTTCAATGATGGAAGATGTGAAGCAAGATGAAGTTGTTGATGCGAGTGTCAAGTTTGTTGGCTTTGAGTTTTTGAGAGAGGTAACTGTGGTAATCTATCTATAGTTTCTTGTCATTATTTCCAACATTTTTTTTTTAAAAATAAAATCAATTTTTTATTATGAAGTTAGAAGATGAACTACCATCAAAGAAAACGTTGCATGATGTGAAGCCAAGTCATCGGGTGAGACTACTTTTTTCTATGTACTACTCCAGTCCCATCATAGTGGGCCTCATTTACTAATACAGGACATGACAGAACATGTTGTACTGTGTTTGACTGTGACTGTGGGTCAAAAGTTGCAATTTTTTGTCTCATCCAAAAAGGTGGGATAAGGACTTGCTCTTACTCTCTGTCTGTGCAAAAGACGTAAATGCCCTCCAATTCAGTCTAGTGTTGTCCCTTGTAACAACTTTAGCTTAAAGTTTGATACAAAGCTCTAACACACCATGTTTCATAATTCATGCAGGACAATAAACGCAAGTTGTCCTCTACAGTGAGTTATTTTTTTATCTTGATGTTCTTTTTGTTGTGAAATAGTTCCCTTTACATTTTCGGCAAAACATAGTTTTCTTAATGAGGATGATGAGGGCACTCATGTCTTTTGCACATACAATAGATAGGCCTAGCAGTTCTCGACACGACCCGTGACACGATACGGAATAAACGGGTTTGGGTTGAGTTTTTCAACCCGCCAACCCGTTTATTAGACAGGTCATATATGAGTTTCTCAAAAAATATACAGGTTGACCCGCCAACCCGTTTAGAACTTTAATAAAAAATTTATGTATTTTCTTAAGTGTATCAGGACTTAAGTATTATACAGTTTATACACTAGGATATGATGCCATTGACACGTTTGTATTAATGTTTTAGTTTGTACATGTTTCTATGAATTCAGATATGTTTGCATCAATGATTTATTTATATTTAATTGTTAATTTTATTTATGGAATCTGACCTACGAACCCACGAACCCAAATCTGACCCACAAACCCACCAACAATAAGTGGGTTGACATCCCACCTTGTTGTACTCTTTTGGGTGGGACAAGGCCATGGTGTTCTTACTTATTGAACAAACATGGCCTACTTTTCTTCTCTACTTCTATTGTGCTTTTTTAATTTCATCATGTGACTTATATTGATCGGTTTGATTATCCTTAGGTATTAAGCAAGTTCTTATGTGTGATTGTTGGAGGCTTAGTAGCAGAGTATCTTACGTATGGATACTCAAAAGGACATCACGGTGACGTGGAGAAAGTATGTTCTTCATGTTTCATCTCATCTTATAGAAGAGCTTAGGGTGCGTTTGGTTGTGGAAAACTGTTTTCATTTTCCAAGAAAATGTTTTCAGAAAATAGAGTTGGGTTTTTATTTTCGATTTTCAATAAAAGTTTTAGAAAATGCATTTGGTTGGAAACGGTGGAGTTTTCATTTTCCATCTTAGAAATTTAGAAAACTTTGGAAAACTGTAAAAATTATTTTTCTAATTTACATACAATTTGGAAAAATGAAAATTTTCATTTTCTTAGAAAATTTTGGAAAACTGAATAAACCAAACGCATTTTCAAAATTGCTAGGTTTCTTAGAAATTTTTTCACAACCAAACGCACCCTTATATTTTCTATTTTTTCGTGATCAAACCTCATCTTTATTTTTTCCCTTGAAAAACACCTTGTATTTTTTTTTCATTTTTTCTCGAAAAAACCCTAAACTGTCTTTTTGTTCCGAAAAGACCCTCAACTTTCTAACTGTTTCCCAATAAACCCCGCAACTTTTTTAATTTTTCTCGAAAAAGCCTCAAAATTTCAAGTTTTTTTGGGAAAAAATGACTAAAGGGCTAGATCGGAAAAAATGAAAAAAAAAAATGCAAGGTTTTTTTCAAGAAAAAAAATAAAGTTAAGGTTTAATCCGGAAATATATATATATATATATATATATATATATATATATATATATATATATATATATATATATATATATATATATATATATATATAAACAAAGTGGGAAAAAATGACAGGACTAGACAAACTTTCTAAGTTTATTTTCGACGATGAGAATGAGCAGTGCTTTTATGTCTTTTGCACAGATAAGAGCTCAAGCATTGTGAGTCCCTCCCACGTTATTCCACCTTTTCGGGTGGGACAAAAAATTACTTACAAAAGATCAAGAAGGGCATTCATGCTTTTTTCACCCACGGGAGACTTAGAGTGTGTGTCTATGTTATCGACATTTTTAACATTTTTTAGAAGGCAAGAAATTATAATTTTTGTCACATTAACATCAGTTAATGGACACCATCACACCAAACTCAATTTTATAAACAAGAGATCGAGAAGGGCACGTTATTCGATATTTTTTAAGTAGGAAAAAAAAAATTTAAATTTTTGTATCATGGTCTGATTTCATTTATAATACAATAGTTGGGCATGGTGCTTAAATGGTTGCAATTCACTGAAGACGAAGCAGATGCTCTGATCAGATGGAGTGTACTGAACACGCTCGTGATATTGCATCATCATAGTGAAGCTAGATTAGCATTAGTGGAGGCCATGACACGTGGAAGATCAATTGGAAATTGCATTGATGTGATAGAAACCACTCTAAACTATCAAGACGTTTAAACATCTCACATCTTCACCATCATCATGTTCAAGATTATTTGACCTAACCTCGACTGACAATTTTACACCATTTGGGAATACTCAATTTGTTACTTTTAAAACCTTTGGTATGGGTATATTGTTCTATATATAGCATTATAAATTTATCAATTGAAAATTTGTGTAATTCTGTGAAATGTAGATTTGTATTAATTATCATGGATTTACAAACGGAATACTTAAATGTTTATAAATTACAAAACCAAATCAAAACTAAAACTAAAAAAAACTCATTGAGCTAATATAGATAAAACCCCTAAATCAAAACCTCTCGATCACCTAGAAGCTTTCCTCAAACCCATCTTCTACTTTTGATTTTATTCTACATCAAGAATGCGTTTCTTGATTGCTTAGTGAAATCCATTCGATCACACATCTCTTCCCATTAATCGAACCCATCTTCTCCTAATCTACTCTCTGTACTACATCTTAATTACTATGATCATCACCAACAACTCCACTACTGCTGTACACGAATTTTTCAGGCCACGTATCAACACTTTCTTTCCGGTTCCCCTAGGGTGTTGTTTGGTTTTATTTTTGGGTTTGGGTAGATTGGATCGGGTTAAGTGGGTTTTTGTTGTCGAATATTTAACCAATAATTGAACCGAAATTAATTTAGTTATTAAGGTTTTGTGTCTGGTATTTTAAAAATTACGGGAAAATTGATGTTCCAACTAAAATTTAAAAAATTGTTATAAACCGGTGACAAGTTTTAAATGAAAGTTTAGACAAAACTGTAAAAATTGTCATTGTGGTATGTCGAAAATTGTCACTTTAGTTTAAAAAGTTTCGGACTAGCACTAACGGTCAAAAACTTTGATTCAACGGTCCGAAACATTAATGTTATTGCGAGTTTGGTCCATAACTTTTTTTTTAAATTAATGACAATTTTGCCCTTATTATTTTCATTTTCTAATTTTTATGCATTTTACAATTTCACTATTAAAAATAAATTAAAAAGAAAATATAAACCTTACACAATACCCAACCCATTGACATTTCAATCTCTCCCTCTCCATTGTCGTTGGAGCATGTCGGAGCCGGAGACCTTCGTCATCCTTCCCAATCTGTTATAGACCATTGTCAATGTGGTTTAGGGTTTGAAAACCCTACCTTCGTCTTTTCAGACCTTAATTTAAACAACTATCAATTTAGTAATTACTGAAACTAAGCAAGCAAAGAAAACAATTTTTAATTCAAATTTAAAGAGTACTCTTGTTTAGTTTTGAATTCTCCTCTCTTATGGTTGATTTCTAGTGGATAACTTATAGTGATCACCAATTCATTAAGTTACTAGAGTGTGCCAAAGAAAAAGAAATAAAGCAAATTATTTATTTGGGACATGAGTGATGTCATTAGAGACATGAAATGGATGATCCCGGGCACGAATCTCTTCCTTCAAAGTCAAGAGAGACTTAGAAGTGTTTGTGTGGTTTCCCGTAGAAGTAAGATCAGATGCTTATTAAGAAGCATTGAAAGGCATCTTTTTAATATTAGGCTATAAGAGTGGCTTTTAGTTTCAACCGAACATCGTATCTTGATATAAGACCGAAAGTTGAGTGAAGTACTTGTGTGGCCGATGTAGCCTATAACAACACGTAGGTTGGAATCTCTTTCAATGACTAGGTAAAATAGCAAAAATGTCAAAAACAAAATAAAAATGGATCTTTTGGGAAGATAGGCCTTCGTTTTAGACAATTTCATAAAGACCTCACAAAAATAAAAGAGATTTCTTGGTACATACCACATGAGTGGTTTCGTTAATACATGGGTGAAAAACTAGAACATTCAATTGTTCACCGTCAATTCACTAAAGGTATTGGATTGTGGTGTCACTTAGATCATGGTGAAATGAAACTAAGATCATTAACACAGATGATATGTAACCATAAACCTGAGTGGTTCATGCTGAGAGTCTCAAGGGTTACATTCTTTGAATCGAAAATAATGGAGGAAAATGGTGAGGTGGTTAAAGAACCGGAAGTACCTCTGCTATACGAAAGTGACCAAGCATATAACTCGTTACGCAATGTGAGAAGATTAAGGTAGCTCATGACTTAAGTAAATTTAACAGCCTGATTAGGAAGAAACAATTTGTATATATCGAATCAGTAAGGCTTCACTATAGAGTCGTTGAGACGTTGGACAACATGTAGCAGCATGCTTCTAGGGACACTTAGCTAGTATACAAATTAAGAGTTATACCTTCCCCATGATACATTGTGCAAGAATCTAGTTTAAACAAATAAAAGAAACTATTTTTTTCATTTTTGATATTTCTGAAAAGGAATAAAACCTGAAAGGAAAAATATTTTTCTATTTTAGATTTTTCTGAAAAAGAAATAAAAACAGAAAGAAAAAAAAATAAAATGTACAAAAAGTATACATAAAGTTTCAACCGATCGTTCGCCTTATGATGGGTGAAGCGAAATATACCGAGCGTTCGGTACAATTCGGTGCCCAAAAAATTCGGAACCGAAATAGACCGAGCGTTCGCTCTATTTCGCTTGTTAAAATTTTAATGAGACGAAAGCGAAAAATGTACTTATAGAAGCGAAGGTGGTTTTGGAACAGATTCGGTTTTCATCATTCCTAAGCCTTGGAGAATTTTGTTGAAAGTTGCTTCAGGCAAGGCTTTCGTGGATATGTTAGCCAATTGATCGGCAGACCGTACAAAATAAATTTCAACGTTACCATCTTCCACGTTATCCTTGATAAAGTGATACCTTAGTGCTGTGTGTTTTGTCTTTGAGTATTGCATTGGGTTGTGACATATTCGGGTTACGCTTTCATAGTCACAATAGAGTGGGATTCGCCTCATGTTTAGGCCATAGTCTCTTAACTGACTTTGAATTAAAATGGCCTGCGAAGCACAAGATGCAGCGACTATATATTCAGCTTCGGCTGTGGACAAGGAAACACACGTTTGTTTCTTGGACTGCCAGCTGATGATTTTGCCATCCAGAAATTAACAGCCGCCTGTGGTGCTTTTCCTATCTAGACCACATCCTCCGAGATCAGCATTAGAGAATGTTTGAACGAAGAATCCTGATTTCGTTGGATACCATATGCCGAGAGATGAGGTTCGATTTAGGTATCGGAATATGTTCTTGACTGCCACCATGTGAGGTTCGCGTGGATTAGCTTGAAACCTGGCATAGTAACAAACAGAAAACATAATATTTGGTCTACTATCTGTAAGATACATTAGAGACCTTATCATTTGGCAATAGAGCGTCATATCAGCAGCCAATTTTTCTAGTGATGGTGTTAGTTTCGTACCGAAAGCCATTGGAACCTTCACTCTTGAGTCTCTCATCATGCCGAACTTTGCCAGTAAAGTCTTTGTGTAAGCCTCCTGATTGATAAAAATGCCTTCTGGTCCCTATCTTATGTTCAATCCAAGGAAAAAATTAGTTGGACCGATTGAACTCATCTCAAATTTAGTCTCCATCAACTTCCAGTATTCAGCTGTTAGGCTAGAATTTGTGGAACCGAAGATGATGTCATCAACATAGATTTAGACGATCATTAAATGGTCACCCTCTTTCTTGCGAAAGAATTTTGGGGCAACCGAACCTTGTTTAAACTTGGAAATCTTAAGAAAACGAGTTAAAGTTTCATACCAGGATCTAAGACCTTGCTTCAGACCATATACTGCTTTGTCCAAAATATAGCAATGGTTGGGATACTTTTCATTCACGAAACCCG